GGTTCTAGATTATCTCCATGCATGGTTCTTGGTTGGAGCATCAGTCTCAGAAAAGACCTCTGGGCCCAGATTTTTTTTGTTCTCTTGGTCTCCTTGTGGAGTTTCTGTCCCCTCCAGGTCTTTCTATCTCTCCCTTCTTTCGTAAGATTCCCTGCACTCTGCCCAAAGGGTGGCTATAAGTCTCAGCATCTGCTTTGATAGCCTGCTGGGTAGTCTGTCAGAGGCCCTCTGTGGTAGGCTCTTGTCGTGTTCCCTGTATTCTCCCTCTTCTGATGTCTATCCCATTTGCCTTTCTGAATGAGGATTGAGCTAGCTTTTTTAGGTGTACAGATTTTTTAAATACTTGGTCCTACATATGTAACTGATGGGCAGCTTGGTCTTCATGTGGGTGGCCTAGCAAGTGGAGCAGGGGCTGTCTCTGACATGGACTCTGTTGCCTGCTTTGGATCATGTTCCCCTAGCTGTGCTGTCTTGTCTGGCCTCAGTGGAAGGGGACGAGCTTAGTCTTGATGAGTTGTGATGTGCTGGGATAGGTTGGTATGGCCAGGTGCTGTCTATTTCTGAGAAGGGGAGGGAGAAAGAGAAGACGGTAGGAGGGTAGGGCCGGGAGGAACGGATGGGGTTGGGGCTGCAATTGGGATATAAAGTGAATAAATAAATAAATTTAATAAAAACTTACAAAAGTAAAAAAAAAAAGTTAAAAAAATTTGGTCCTTCCTTGATTCGAAGCTTAACACCAACTTTAAGGTTTCATTCCGATAAATCATAGGGAAAATAAGCCAGGATAATATGCTGACACAGACACAGACACAAACAGACATACACATGCACATGAAACCAATCCAAAACTAAAAAGGAATGAGAAAAACTGAAAACTAATGGGAAAATTAATTAGCATGTTATACAGAAAAAAAAAAACCAAGAAATTCTTTTAGAAGGAAAAGGCCTTAATAGCTGTTTCAATACAATGTACAATAGATGGAGAGAAAGGCAACCACTTTGGAACCTGTATTTGATAAAATTTTGTTACTTCAATGATATGATGAATAAGGTATGTTAATCATTAATTCATAATAAACGAGAAAAGACTCAGAGATAATATCTCACTTTGACTGTTTTGTTCTTTGTTGTCATTTAAATGTCACTTCATGGGGAAGGTGACACTGGCTCAGAAATTTTTGTGCAATAGATCAGTGGAAAAAAAATCTCAGGGAGCCACAAGTCTTTCTAAATAATCTTGAGTTAATTAAAAAAGTCTGTGTCTGACCAGTTATGCTCATGTGTCAGCTTTGATTAAATTTAAAAAGTCATCTCAACATTAAGAATGCCTATGGTTAACAAAACTTTGAACTAGACTCAAGTAAGCACATTCCTACATTTTTGTGTGACGTCAGAGTGAACACTCCACAGCCGGATTTGAGTTTTCAAGAAGAATGAACAGCTTTTCAATATAAGAAATATCTAATCTAACACTATTTTTTTTTTTCTCTGTAGGCTAACTGTCCTGGGAACAGGTGGCCCTGCTTTCAATTACAGGGCTAGCATGCCAGTGTGAGGCCTGGATCAGTTCACCTTCTCATGGGGAATTTTCATCGGTTGGATTTATTATAGCTTCACACATGGAACATAGCTCATGTCAGCTGAGGGCACTGACACATCATACGATTCAAATTAACCTGCTGTGGCCCATTCCTCAGGGCTTAGATTGTGTATTAAAATGACGACATTTTAAAAACAGGTTGAAAGAAACCAGGATATCTGAACTGCAATGGTTCCAATTTGTTCCAACTAATCTCTCACCTGCTAGAAATATGGTTACAGAGTCTGTGGTAGCTGCTGTTTTCTGAGTTTTTCCAAGCCACTGACCTTGCTAATGGGCACTGCTTGCCTCTGAGGAAGGGTATGGCTTGGGAGGGTCTTCAAGGAGTTTGTGATATGGAGGTTAGGATATGGCACTTGCCTAAGGTACTAATAAAGGGACACACAAAGATAAAGGATCATTTTTAAAAATCTAAATGCTAAAGGACAGTGTTTGTTCCATCTTGTTGAGAGAAAAATTTTGAAATGGATTCGAAAGGTTAAATCCACGAGCAACTATGTTCATATCCTCTGAGGAAATCTGAAGGGTAGTCAGTTACAATCAGTTTTCCCTTTACAATTCAGGAGCCTAATTTTTACTGTTACTGTAACCCACCTAGAGAACAAACAAAAAGAAAATCGAGATACAGTTTAGAGATGTAGCATGAAGACATTCTTTGGTAGTGATTGATGTGTACACAGACTTAAATATCTAACTGCAAAAAAAAAAATAATGCTAACAGTAATGTTGCCAATAAAATCAGAAGTATTACTTTCTATACTCTGTGCCATTTGTGATGTTACTTCTTTCAAAGAGAGAAATGTTCGTGGAGAACAATATAACTGCAGTTGTTACCTAGTCCTAGCACAAATAATAATCTTAGAAGTACACTACCTAGTGAAAGTAAAACAAAAACAAAATCCCCATAATTTTTATTGTGTTGCCAATATGTACACTATATATGTGAAAGATTTTTAATGTATCTTGTGATACGCTTCAATTAATACGACTGTTCAGTTGTTAGGCTAGTGTTTTAGAAGAAATGTCACAGAGCTGATATACAATTCCAGCTAACTTCCCTTAATACAAGATAAACAAACAAATAAATGTATTTTTGACAAAAATGTTTTAGAGTTTAAAAAACTGAAACTACATTCAATATTTTTCATAACAAAATAAACACCCTAAGGCTTGTTCTTCCTTTGTAACTCTCTTCTCCTCTACCACAGGTTTCTAGCATGGCTTTGAAAAACTTGATTGGTGTTTTTGGAAAACAATCACTTATGATGGGAAATAACGTGTGCTTACACAGAAGTCTAAAAAGAATTTTAATCAGGCATATAAAACCTCCCTGGGCCAGCAAGATGACTTAACGGTTAGTAAAGGCACTTACTACCAAGCCTGACAACTTGAGTTCCATCACTAAGACCAAAATCAGCTCCTTTATGTTGTCTGGTAACTCCCACAAGCATAATGTGGGGCACATGTGCACACACACAGACATAAAACTATTCTGCTACAAAACATGCAATGTCTAGATTAGCAGCATCCACTTCACCTGGAATATGGTAGAAATACAGACGTTTAGCCATACCTCAGAAAAACTAAAATGCTACTTGCAGAGATGCGTAAGGTATAAACTCAAACTGAAGAACGATGGTTGTAGAATAATTATCAACTCACCATCTTAAAGGTCTGAATATCCAAATACACAATCACTATTAACTTAAACTATGAAATCATATATATCCATTTCCCAATTTTGAAAGTACTTTAAGATAAACACAAGTATAAATACTTTAAAATAATTTACTATGTTTATGTTTTTACTATGTTATCACATTAAATGTCAGAACTATGAACATGTAATCATTCTTTCATACACTGGCATTTCTCTTCATAATTAAGTGTATCTGATTGTCTTGCAAATATGATGTTCAACCTACCATTGATCCTATTACTTTAACAAACAAATCAATAATCTAAATTGATTGTCTGCCTAAAAGAAAATTTGAGCCCAAATGAAGAGCAAGAGGTAACCCCAAATTCCTGTTTCTACTCCAGCAGCTGATCCCATGTTAATTTCTCTTCTGTTCTCACATGTCAGACCTTCACAGGGGAACAGCTCTGCAATGAGGAAATACCCGGCAACTAATGGAATAAGGGGAACATGCAACACAGGTCCGATGACAGTTCTTTTCTTTCTCCTCAGTGGGATTTAAATGCTATAACTGGTTATTTGGCTTAAATAAAATCAGTATTTCTCATTTACTAGAAAGTAGGATCCCCACTCACCCCCAGCCAATAACTTCCTCTTTCCTGTCATTACTTAAGATCACATGTAGATATTAACTATGAAGAGAATACGTTCTTCACACTAGCCCTGGAGACATGTGCTGCAGAAGAGGCCATAAAACCAGTGAGGCAGCTCCAGGGTCAGCTCAGTCCAGCTATCAAGACTCTTTCCATTTTGTAGAAATGACTGACAGGACACAGCACACACACTCCTCATGGTCTGCACAGGGATAGTGTTGCTTGAGATGTAAGAACAGTCTAATGTCCCTATTTTAAAATTCTTATAAAGAAACCAGTGCTCCTTTGACAACTAATACATTCTGAAGCCATGTGAGTATAACAAAAGTGAAGCAGTCAGTTCTAGTAAGCAAATAGCCAAGATCACATCACGGAGGTCAGAACTGAAGAGAGAGTGGAAGATAAAGAGGCTAAAAGGGAGCCTGTAAGTGGAGTAGGAGACAGAAAAGGAAACTTAACATCATGATGATCAGCATCATCCAAATGGAAGATAAACTCTTCAAAGTCATAAAGCCCTACTGTTTGAACAGCTCATCTATCTGTATGATTTCAGCTAATTTTCCTCATGTTTTGGTCTTATTTTCCTTGTTTGTAAAATAGGAGAGTAACAGTAGCTACCCTTGACTCTTTGAAAGTATGTGAAGATTTGGTATTAAGCTATCTATCTAAAATTGAGTGCTTACTATATCTCAAAACTTTCTTTATGCATTTGAGGTAAGTATGCTCATCTATGCATGCTCCTTTATATATGGAATCATAAATCTCACCTATCACCTATATTATTATCTTCATACGTAGTTAGAAAACTGAACAGAAAATTACAACAAATCCTTTAAGAGCACTCAGATGATTAAGACAAAAAGCAACAAAAACATAAAAGGTCTTCAGCTTTTAAACAATTATTCCTTCTGTCAGTAAGGACATAGTTACTCACTCAGATTCACATTTGCTTTTTGGTGTTTAGGATGGGCAGGCTAAAGAGGGTATACTGCTGGACAGCAGGCCAGCAATTCACTGTCTGACAACAGTTCAGGCTTACTAACAGATCCAATATGTATGTTTCTGTCTTCACACAGGAAAGAAAGGTGCTTGATTATGATTTCCATACCTGGTCCATTAAGAAAGTCTTTGATTTGTAAAGTAACAAGGGAAGGTGGAATCCCACTTTTACTGTCTGTTTCTCCAGGCACAGTCTGCAGCCACACAGTGTTATAGTCAAGGGCTTCGGGCAAAGTCTTCCCAGGATCTAAGTGATAAAAATTGAAAAATGAAAAACAGTGATCACACCACAAGCATCTCAATTTTGTATATGGATCTATGTGGATAAATGAAATCAGAGTATGTTCAACTGTTTTATGTAAGCGTCATCATTTCTTTTATTTGCACACAAATGGTAAAACACACACACACACACACGTATACGTATCAAAAAAGGTAAACTAAGTTTACAAGGTGGGATAATAACACCGGAACTAGACCAGATTATAAGCCTCATTGTCTTTGTGTGAAGAAAAAGCCTTAATGCTGAGCTGCTGGTCATTAACAGTTTAATGGTTGGATCTTACTTTATATACAATGCTAGAAGCAAAAAGCAAAAAATGGCAAGCTTCCTGTCAGCTTTAAAAAGACTCTCAAAGTCTCAAACACATTCAAAAGATGCAGTAGGTTAGAACTACTCTGGGGTTAATTTGATCTGTTTTAGAGTTTTCCTGACACTACACTCAGTTTTTACTGCTAAGCTTTTGAAGTTCCAATCAGTAGCCTTCCCACAACCTTCTTGAATGGTAATAATTGGTTGATCTTTTACTAGTTCTAATACTATTACAATTTCAGGCTTTTTCTATTTTGACATTTTTCCATTTTATATTATGTATTTCAATTTTTTTGTTAACATTAACATCTTTTAAGAATATATTCTGGATACCAGTAATGTCAAAGAATTCATTCACTTTTAAAGGTTTGGAAAACTACAGTTTCTGATTTAAATAACTCTGAAGAAAAATGAATGCTGTATGTTGGCATATAATGCAATAGGCTTTAAAAAATCTTCTCCATATCCAGTTTTTCTTCACAACTGTTTTCTTCTTTGTATTTTAATGTACTTTAAATTCCATTTTTATAGGTATGTTCTTGCCATAGAACCCATCTATCCCATTTTCAGCCTATCAGAAATGTGTTATTAAAGCATTATTTACTTCAGTCTTCATTGATTGGCTTGCTTTCAAGAATAGCATTTACATATAGTATTTATATTCAACATATGGTTATATAGTATTACTGTCATATGTGAACCGGGCATATAAATTTTGCTTTGGAATTTGTGTTTCTTGACCTTATCATGTGATTCTTATGAAAGCTGGCACATAGGCACCTTTATGTTATTTCAAAGAAAATACTGAAAGGGATTGATTGTGACGTTCAATGTATGTGGTAAAAGATCAAACACTAAGTCAGTGCATGCTTTCCCTTTATGACTGGTGAATCTGAAGCAGAGGGAATACGAAGAGTAGACCTATAACAATACACAGTAACAATACACTATTTTCTCTTTCAAATACCATACATAGTCAGGTCTCATAGAAGCATAACTTTTTTTTGTTGCTGGAAGACTCTTCAGTCAGTTTACAGGAGCCATGCAACCTACCAGAACCTGAATGTCTCTTTCCAGGGTATCATCTATCTACACATCATCAGAAGTGATTTTATCAAGAAATACTTCCTGTTAAATCTGTATAATGATACATAATTTTTCACTTTGAAGAGAAAATATCAAGCAACGAATGTGATGCTCTAACAGATGAAAGAACCATAACAATAGACTTTAATTCTATTAAATTGGTGCTAAAACCCTAATATAACGTATAGAACAACTCATAAGAAAACAACTCACAGGAAGTACACTGTTCAATTTGCAGGAAGCTGGATGTTTATTGTACTTATACCATCTAAAAACTACAGTCCATTTCCTATACTTTCCAGAGGTAAGGATTCTGAGTAGCAGGACAACAAAGACTGGGACTTTAAGTACATTACCTGATACAAATTTATCACAATCCAACTAGAGAATATAAAGACTGACACTGACTAAGAATTCATGAAAAACACTGTAATCATTTGATACAGCAAACTAACCTTAGAAATTAATTCCCCCCAAATGGATACATGTACATACATTTATACCTACTAAAAATGTGTCTTATCGTTTTTCCATAGGGTTCTTTTTCTAACTGACTTATAGGAACTAGTGTTTGCTCTTAGTATCTTTCAACTGCATTCTAATGCTTTGTGCATGTATATATCACTTAACAGATGCTGGAAAAAATAATTAACTTTCAAAAATTTATTTGTTAGGTAATTATGAATCTATTCCTAGGGTTTTTGGGAAACATTTTTTTTTCTTTTTTAATCTTCACTGTTTAATTTTTCTGGAGTACTTAAAATAAACAGAAAAATCTTCTCATCTTTACTGTTCACCAAGGATATACAAGTTAAAATGAGGAATACAAATTTTCCTTAATTGAAATAGTTAAAAGATTACTAATATGTTATGTGTGGGTGATGGAGGGGAAATGGCTACTCCCATAGGTGGTAGGTATGACTAAACATGTAAAGTTTTTGACTAGATGGGAGACACCAGAGAAATTTCCATCAAATTTCTAAGTATCATCTTCTTGGAATCAGAAATGACATCTATAGACCTCTATAGTTTTACAGAAACACTTAAAAATACATAGATTAATGTTCAAGGAAGTTGAGTCCAGAATAATTTGAAACTATAAAAATTCAGGAAAAATCCATTTAAAGAAAAGTAAAATAGGTTGTGACAACATTATAAACACTGCATGGAATACTATGCCAGTGACAAAAAGAACAGAGTACATTTTATACAGTACTATAAAAGACCACCAAAGTACACTATTCAGTTAATACATCAGAGAAAAAGGAAAGAGGGTTAGTAAATACAAATATGATTCCCCTCTCTCCTTCCACATACAAAGCAGATGTGGTGACAGGGTCACAGCTTGAACTGGCCAAGAACTCACTAGGTGGACCAGACTTGCCTGATCTGCCTGCCTCTACCTCCTGGCTGCTGAGATTAAAGGTACTCACCAAAATATGTGGCCTATTTTTTAAGTACTAGAAGATGATTGTTCTAGACAAGCTTAAGCACATGCTGATATAAGGAACTGTAAGTCATTCAGAAAGGAGGACAAAATAGGACTTTTAACCAAGGAAATTAAAAAGCTATCAGGAATGGAAAAGGAAAGCTAATTCTGAAGATGTGTCTGAGTGTTTTCCAGGATGGAAAGGTTTTGTGCAGGTGCCTCTGAGGGCAGAAGTCAGAGAGATTAGCCACCTTGAACCCTGGCAAGAAATCAGCTCTAAGGTAATCACAGGGCTCTGAGTAAGCAGGAGAGACAGTAAACTGATGAGAAAGGGTAAGAGCAGAGGAATGAGGAATTAAAGCAACCATAAAAGTCTAGAAAATCTAACCAAGGAAACCAGCACTTTGGTGACTACTTCTTAACAAAATGTTTGGATAAGTAGGCTTAAAAGTGTATATGAGATAACCTAGAACCCTTGCACAGATGTAGCCCATGGCAGTTCAGTGTCCAAGTGGGTTCCATAGTAATGGGAACATGGACTGTCTTTGACATGAACTGATTGGCCTGCTCTTTGATTACCTCCCCCTGAAGAGGGGGGGCAGTCTTACCAGGCCACAGAGGAAGACAATGGAGCCACTCCTGATGAGACCTAATAGACTAGGTTCAGAAGGAAGGGGAGGAAGATGCCCCCTATCAGTAGACTTGGGGAGGGGCATGGGTGGAGAAGGGGAAAGGAGGTTGGGATTGTGGGGAGGAGGGAGGAAGCTACAGGGGGAATAGAGAGTGAATAAATTGTAATTAATAAAAATTAAAATAAAAAAGTGTGTGTGAACTTATAAGATTGACAGAATAATTGAACTTAGAAACATCCAAAGCATGTAAGTTCAGAGCTGATGGTTACTGAACATAGAATAGGACTGGCATTATGTCCTTTCTGAGTCTTAGTAAGCATCTCCAGTTTCATATAAAGGTATCTTAGAATTCTTGAAAAATGTTAAACTCTAACAGTCACCTCATGCTCTAAGTATGATGAGGAAGATGATGTCTGGCCTTTCTGAGTGCTGTCTTTGATTTAATTTGTCGTAAGTTCTATCATCAGGACCAGACAGTAAGATACATTCTTCAAGGTCAATATACCTGGGAAAGCACCAGATAAACTAAGATTAAAGGCGCTTGTAAAGATCATATGAACAGAGTGACAGACAGAGACAGCTGTTTCGTATTGGGAGCCTCCCCCAGGCTTCTTCATATGTAGTAAACACTCATTTGGTCCAGCACTAGAAGCTCCCAACATGGCTAAACTGCTGGTGTAGATGAGTGCATTTAACTTCTTGTCTCCAAGCCTAAGAAACTAGGGAAAGTTGTTCTTTATGAGAAACCATGGGTGGGGAATGGGGCAGAAAAAGTGATATACTGCTCATAGTCATAGACTTTATTCATGCCTAACTAGGCAGAGAAAGTTAGCGACAAAGTTGTAATATTTACTTTTCTTTTTGGAAGCACTTGTAAAAGAAAATACTTTATTCTATCATTCTAAAATAGCCAAAGAGAACAACTCAGAAAGCCTCCCTTCAATACCTATGAAATTAAAAGCCAGTCCCTGCTTAAACAAAACCATGGCAATCAAAAAGGTTGATCAGGGAGGCATGTCTGTGCTGGTAGATAGCTTTGCTCTCCTTTAGAGAAACTGGAACTTCTCTTAGCTTCTTGGGAATGCTTCCACTGAACCTGAGGACAGCCATCTTGAAAAGTGCTGCTGTAATTTTAAATTCTTAACAGATAGTCACAGTAAGTGTATCTTTGGCTCCTATTTGGCTTGTACAAAACACAACATAATTCAGAATAGATGATTCAAAATAGATGCAGAGATAAATATCCAAAAGGTCTTTGAAATCTCCTACTTATCAAAAATGTGTTTGTTAAACTCATGTAAAATGGCTAAATAATACCATTTAAAAAGCTTTATTAATTATTCTGTTTTGTTCTAGCAGAGGGCAGAAGGTGTATTTTTATCCCAACAAAGTTGAATTTTCACACAGATCCTAAAGGGAAATATACTTCTTTTTGCCACAGATCTCAGTGTTGTTTTCTCCTTCAAAGTGACACGATATTGAACACAAGATGGGGCCCAGGCACCAAA